CAACATGAAAAACCTCCCTGAGGAGTTGACAGAGAGAAGGAGGTGAGAAAAAGTGCAAATATAATTAGTGTGACTTTGCCAATAATTATTCATGCATGCAGCTTTAAAACAACAGATAAAATGCAAATGAAGGGTATTATTAAACATTAATCCAGCATTGCTCAAACTGTTGTCCTCGAGATGTTGCTTGCACGATGGTGTGATGTTTGCAGAGAGGGACGTAGAAACATCTGCTTTAATGACTGAAACCATCTTGAAATTTACAAGTTTCGTTATTTTTATATTCGCATTGTGAGAAATCTGTGCATTTTTCACAGGTTCACTGCAAACAGGTTCCCTGCCACGGTGAGGATTTTCAGAAACGCTGGTTGTGTAACCAGCAAAACTGGAAATTTTGCAGTGTGTAAGTGGATTGGGATTATATCAGCACTTGTTAGTGTGGCATTCATACTGTGGTAGCATTTCAATGAAGGATGCAAAACTTGTGGGCATGTTCTAAAAGTGATGTCACTTAAACGTCCTGCACTCACGGCTAAACATGACTTGATGCACAATTAGATGCACATTTCTTGGGTCTAAACACTCTTTGTTTGACTCCTTTTCTACTTTTCTGTGTGTTACTTTAGAGGCGGATGTGTTAGTTCTTCTTCACCTCATCAATGTTCTTTCTATTTAAAAAAAATCTGTAAACGCCATTTATCAAACATATCCATTCTGTCTGCAACTATCAAATATTTTAATAATCTATTGAATTACAATTGTAATCAAAAACTAATCCGATTTTTCCATTTTTGTTCAATCAAAACTCACATTTCTGTAGTTTCTACATTAATAAATTTCATGTGGTTTAGGTTCAGAGAAGGGACTATAAAAATGGACAGTTTTGAATGGAGGTGACTTTAAAAAAAGTTTTAAATGCTATTTTTAACAATATTATCAAGAAATATAACTGTTACTGTCATTATTTTCAAAATTAAATTTACCTTAAAATTATTGTTTTTAAATATAGAAAGAATATATAATATATGATATAACATATATAAATATAAAAGGCAATTAGAGTATTGGTCATGAAATTGGAAAATGCTTTAAGTGGGAATTTTCTTTGTTCATAAACCGCATGGATGATTCTTCCAGTATTTAAGGACTCAAAACTTGGATGTGATGTGACAAGATGCAACGCCACAAGTCACATGGTGTAAACAAAAAAAATTGCAGAAACTCAAAGTTTGTGCAACCAACCTGGAACATCCTGTTTCTTAAAGATTGAGGAACTCTTTGTGAGCTCTAAAAAGATAACCATTTTTAATGCGCATGATGAGAACCTAATCCCATACAAAGATTCCAATCCCGACCCGGAACAAATGTATCATTTTGAAAGTTGGTGTAGACCCTAAATGCCAGACTTTTTCCAATTCAAGAAACATTTTGCAGCATTTGAAAGAAAGCACCTCATTCTGGAGAGCAGATCTTCATATGATGGTTGAATCGAGAGATCTTCCTCAACACAGATGTCCCTTCAACAGACAAGAAAAGTGGTTGCGGCTTTGATGGTGTTACAATATTTCAGGTCTTGTGTTTTGGGGTCTGTAGTTATGAAAGTGTATCTGTTGCACTAACCTGGTTTCGATGCCCTCTGGCTGCAGAAGGAAGCAACGCAAGCAGCTGTATGAGCCCGGAGCTCCGCCTCTTCCTCTGGAAACCCCGCCCTCTTCATCAGAGTCATTTTCTGGAAGGGCTTTGATAATCTTCACAAAAGACTCTGGAAATATTCCAGTCCTCTCCCTCACTGTGCCCTACAAAGAAAGTGAAACAGCCGTCTCTCTATCTGTATATTTTCATTCATCCACCCATCCATCTATTTTGATGGAGAATTGAGTTTCGAAGTTGGCTGAAGAGGGAGTAATCATGATCTCTAAGCTCCAGACACATTTTACGCATTGGAGCGAAAAGAGGAGTTTAGGAGGCATTGAATGAGCGAGTTACAGCCTGTTCTAGCTCTTTCACCCTCTCCCATCTCGATAATGTTATTTGAAGGATGCAGGTCTATACAATATCCATTTCTCTCGCTCTCTCTCTCTTGCAATTCAAGCCAGGTCAAATCTTTCTACTGTATTGTCATGGAAGATAGTCAGTCATAAAGCCATCTTTGTAAGTGCATGTGTGCTACAAATGTCCTTCGCTTTCTCTTCTTTCCCCACATAATCTTTTTAGTGCTTCCTCCCTTAGAAATTCTATCCATTATTTTTCCTTGGGTGATTCCTTTCATTGGTTACTCTCTCTGATATGTTGTCACTAAAGCATTTCATCCATAAAGTTCCTATGTGTTTCTCACTTAATACTCCCTCTTTGTGTGCTTAGATTGGCTGCATTTTTCGGTGTTAAATTGTATGAAGCTTAGAAAGACTTTGTAAAGACTGCAGTTTTAATGAATTTTCAAATACAAACTTAAAAAGTGCTTAACTTAAATAGTCACTCCAGACTGCATTCCTGTTTGATTTGAAAATATGGCTCGGTCATGACTGTTCTTGAGTCTCAGCTCCAGAACAAGTGAGAGCATTTGTTTTTAAAATATTTCTGGATTATTGCAAACTATATGTCCGTTCATCAGATATCAACTTAGTTAGGGACTTTGGAGCAACTAAACAATCACACCCATCTAAATAAGTAATTAATGTGATTTCATATAACTGTATATGAATTAAAATGTAAAATAAGCCCATTAAAATAAAATATGTTTTTAAACTGGCATTACTACAAATTACAAGGTCTATAGATAAATCAGTCATTAAAAAACAGAGAGGGGTCTATAAAAAATGGATAGTTTTGAATGGAATTGGCTTTTAAAAAAAGTTTTAAATGATATTTTTTACAATATTATTAAGAAATATCAACTGTTACTAACACATATGAAATAAACAAACATACAACATCTTAAAATGAGGAAACTTAATAGTTTTCATTGTTTTGAAAGTAAGCTGTGTTGGTTGTACTTGTAACCTAGACCCAGTGTATTCTGGACCTTCTGTCATACCATAACCATATTAATGTACCGGTACCGGTAACATTTTCTTTATCAAGAAATAAAATGTTTGCCAAAATAAGAACCAGAAATACATTTGCTTCCTCCAGAGATCCTTTAAAGAATGCTGAGCTTATCTGTGCATTTATCAATGCTATAGTTTGAACAAACTGAGGAAAGTGTTCAGAATACTTTGAGTCTAAACTATGATTATTACTATCTTAGCAGGACATACATTTTCAAATTTAAATTTACCTTAAAATTATTGTTTTTAAATATTGAAAAAAAAAACTATTAGAGTATTGGTCATGACACGATGCATATGAACATATATTAATATTAAAAAGGGTGGTACAGTGGTGCAGTGAATAGTACTGTGGCCTTCCATTTGGAAGATTGTCGGTTTGAGGCTGTGTGTGAGAATGTGTGTGTGTTGGAGATGTGTCCACCAGACCGTCGTGACCCCGAAAGGGAACAAGTGGGTAAGAAGATTAATGAATGAATGAGATTGGAAAATAACTATTGAAAATAATTAAATAAGTACATTATAAATGTCTCCTAGTAAATAATATATATAAACCACAAAGATAAACTAAAGAAGTTGCAGAAATGACTAGAAGCACCATCACTCCAAGAAGCAAATGCACTTCAACTGCTACACAATTTATCCAGTAAGGATATGTATTGTAGACATTTGTATTGCAAAACATTGTTACACCCCAATTATAAATACATTTAACTGGCTAAAAGTACCACCTTTGATCCTGAGCAATTAAATTTAATCCCAGCACAAAATGTAAAACTTGCTTTGGAGCTACAAACCCTTTCCTACCTCCAACATTAATGATTGGATGCTACTCCATCCTCTTACGCTCTCCCTCCCAATATCTTTTTCACACAAATCTCCTCCCTCTTTTACCTCTCCCCCATCCCATTATCTTTGGTTCTCAGCATCACTGTTGTACCTCCAGCCAGTCTGCATTTACTCTCCGCAGGAGGAAGATCACGTCTCCAGCCTTCAGACTGAGCTCCAGGCGCCCACTGCCGCTGAAGTCAAAGACTGCCTGAAACACACAGAGCAAGGACAAGCAAGCGAGCAACAGAGAGTGAAACAGAGAGAGTGAAGGGAAGGTGCTGGTAAGAGACGTTGGTTCTTTCAAAACTTTGAAGAATTAACATTTAAATGCAAACTGATTTGTCTTGTACATTTGGAATTACAACTAGAGTAATTTAAATAATTACGGCTCCCTGTTTTTAATATATATATATTAAAAAAAGTGTCAAAAATGATCCACCGCTCAAGGATTGTAAGGGGTGCTTTCCTGGGATGGTACCAAAAAACTTCTGAAAGGACCTAGACTTATAAAAGTGTGTGAATTGTTTATAGTTTTTAAACTTTATTTTTTTGTTGTACATATTCAACACAACTTAAAGCCGTTCCAAAGGAGAGATACTAGCCTCTTAAATCAGAAGGTCCCATGACTCTCAAGTTTGTCTAATAACTTGCCTCTGTGTATTCTTCTATGTTTTATTTAGAAAATAAACACAAACACTACTTTGAAGCTACAAATAAAAATAACCATATTTTAACTTTGGGACTAGACTTTATTTTGATTCCGCTTTATAAAGCACGCTCTTTATTGATGTTGACTTATGCTGTTGGTGGTACTTTTGTATTGTTATGACACTCAACCTGATAAAGAGGATTTGCGATTACAGCCCAGAGATTAAGGTTTTTTAACCATTGAATTTGTCCATTCTGTTTTATCACTGAATACAAAACTGTTTTGTGTGTTTGTGAATTGGGCGCGTTCAAAATCGTAATCATTTCCAACCTGAACAGAAAATAGAATCCAGTGAACAGTGTTAGGTTTGTCTGTTAATACCTCTTTTGAATAGGCACAAATCAACAAGGCCTTTATTTTGAGCGCTAATGACTTTAATTTCATTATGCTTTATTAAGTACTCTTTTTACAAGGCTCTCCTGTGGCTCAGCAAGTAGAGCATTGCGCTAGCCACGAAAAGGTCATGGGTTCAAACCCAAGGGAAAGCGAGGACTGACGAAAGGGGTTCATTCCTTGTAATGCAAGTCAAACCTTAATTGAAACATATGTTGATTGTCATTTTACACATGCACCACGGATGACGGCAGAGTACCCTGGTGTTTGAAAGCCCTGCCTGTGTGAAACCGTATGCTTAACACGTGTGCACTGTGTGTGGGGTGTGTAATGAACATGAGTGGGCATCTGTTCTCAAACCTCCATCTCTGAATGTTACAGTACTGTAAATCTGCTGAGCTGTGGGTCGCTTGCTTTGTTTGTGCGCTTGTGTAGGAGTGTGTAGGTGAGGTGTGTTAGATGTTAGCAACTAATTACATCTTGGCATCTGCTTTAAGTGTGTACTATAGGCAGCACATCGATACAATCTGAGCTACAACACTATGAGTTTATTCAAAAGTGACCAAACTAGCTTCTGAATGCAGACCTGATAACAAAAAATGAAGATGTGAAAGCCTAAAATGGCTTCTGGGTCACTTGTGCGCTAACTTTGGTATATAGTGCAGCAAAGTCACTAGGTGTAATAATTGCCTTTTTTAGCCTCCTTTAGCATGCAGAAGTTACATGAGGATCCTATAAAGAGTGAGTGGATGCTACAGATTTTAAATGTATAAGCTAACAACAAAACAAAGCCTTTGGTGTCTGGTGCTGCATTCTCTTTTGCACCTTGTCACTCGTCTTTTTTATTAGGTACAACTACACTGGAAGTTAACAAGACTTCAATATGTGAGAATTTCCACACTGCGACAAAGCAATTTCCTTTATCTCATGCTAATTAGCCTAGCGCTGAGAAAAGCTCTCTGCACCATTAGCAGTGCCACAGCATTGCAAAATTGTATCTTTAGAGTTACAAAAATGTATTCTTCAAATTAACAAGGCCTAATTTCCCGCAACGCAGAACAAAACTATATTCTTAAATGTGTAGCTAACTTTCTATGCAAGGGATTTGAACCATTATTAACACCGGTGCGTGTGCCAATCACAGCGGCTGTTTTAAATTGAATAGGATTGACACGACACCCCCAATGGTGTCGCACACATTTATGTTCTATCTATGAAGCCAATTACCGGTACTTTAAAATGGGATTTTTTTACATTGGCCAGAGTTTCTTGAGCATATATCAAGAAGTCAAAGAACAGATCTAAATTTAGTGTGACTCCGGGAGTCAAAAATCACTCTGATTTCAATTAAGAAGTCAATGACCTCCGAAATGAGCTCATTAGCACGTGCCTGGCCAAAAGGGAGGAGAAGAAGGTGTATTTTCTACCTCAATGAGTGACCCAGTTCAGCTCTTCTCGACTGGGGGATCAGAGCAGGATAAAAAGAGAAGAGATCACTCTATGGGGACATGACATATGACAAAGGAGTTTAACCTAGGAAGACTGCTGGCTATTAACCTGCTTATTAATCATTAGGAAGGGCATTAATGGGGAAAATAATAAAGATTTAGTTCGGTCTACACTACGAAGCTACAGTACAAGAGATCGGTGTAAGATTAAGAATGGGCTTCAACATTTTGCAATGCTTACATTATTTAAAGAATGTTATATGAGACTTTTAATGCTTCAGATATCGTCTGACGGGCCCCAAAACAGCGGATTCTAATGGAAACACAAATATTTCTATAATGGCTTTCTTGATCAGTCTGAACTGAATCCCATCTTCATTTTTCAAAAGAAACTAAAATTTGCGTAAAAAAACAAAACAAAAAACAAAACAAAACAAAGTATGCTATTCTTGAAACATTTGGAGTACACGCTAAAAAGGTTCAATATAGAACCAAATCTGGTTCTTTGGCTCGTAATGATAGGGGAACCCTTTTTGGTGAAAACCAACTATCAAATGTATGAAATAAATAAACTTTGGCATGATATATTTGACCATACACATAACCAGCGTCTATTACAAAGAAAAAACACACAAAACCAGTAAAGAACAAAAATTTGTGTAGTGGGTTGTTGCAATATAGCATCTTCAAAGGGTCAAAGAACCAATGGAGAACCAAATTGAGTTTAAGGGGTTCTATAAAGCAAAAACATGCTATATAGCATCTTCAAATCAAAGGTTTGTAACAATTTAGGTTCTAAAAAACATTTAAATTCTGAATCACTGTAAATATGCAGTTTACTAGTCTTGAAGCATAAATTTCAGCTAATTAATTTTTTTTTCAGCTAAATAAATGTAATTTTTATTGTATAGATGCTATTTGTGAGAATGTTGGTTATGATCATTTTTTTTTCTACGGGATGACGATCTTGAGATGATTAGGCCACTCCTTGACCAAATGCAAATGCTTCCTCTGGGTGAAATACACTGCCTTGTTTCAATTATTTCGGATGACACTTGTGAATCTTGATTTGCTGGGGGAAATTGCCCCCTCACTGCAAAGGAAAATGCCAACCACCTTTAATCATGCAATAATTCCACTGCTACAAACCTATAAGACTTTCTGCACAAAGAAGAGATATCTGCAAGCCAGATTGCTAGGTTATTTCATGAAGAACCAAGTCTTGTTTTGTTAAATACGCATTTTTCTGGACTATTTGTTAATTTAACCTTAAATTTAAAGACTTTCAGAATCAGAAGGGGCTTACTTTCCCTCACAACAAAAGTCTAAAGTGAGTCCAGAAATGACGGAATCTCAGTCTTTCTAAATGAAAGCATCTCTGCTCTAAGCTGTGACATCTCATAAATCTTCTATTTCTAAGTTCGAACCTGCAACCCTTCTCATATATTTAACCAGCAAGTGACACCACCCACACATCCATCTTTCTCGCTTTTCCTTTCCAGATCTTTTGTTCTATCTGGTGTGATGAGAAGTGTAATCTTTCACTTTCGGCCACACCGAATGAGGCTCTGCTCCTCCGCTGGGAAGAGCAGTACGCTTGAATCCAAGCTCTCGCATAAACACATAAAGACAAATGTCCAGCATCGGGTGAGATTTTTCAACACACCTGCGACATCCGTCTGCATCAGAGCGTGATGTCAGTGGAAAATGTTTGTAGCATATGATGAAAGATGAGCAGGGGTGTGTCAAAGTGTGTCAAAGTCAAATTATACATCGGAAAAGTGAAAGATCTGGAGTAAAAATACTGTAATTGTAAAAAGTTAGGATTAACCAGAACATGACAGTGACTACAATTCAAAATATGGATATGCGATGTTGTGGTAAAAATTTATTTGCAATAGACTGATCACAAATATAGAGCCAAATGTTCTTCTAAATGGTAATAATACTTTTATTACCATTAAGAAGAACATTTGGCTCGAGTTTTGTTTAGTCTCAACTGGATAATATTTTACATGGGACTACAGAAATGAGTCTTAAATGTAATAAATAATAAATTAAAATCACAAAAAAGAATCAAATGTTGTATTACATGACAAAATATGTATTAAAGGTGTTTATTTGTTAAATAACTTAACCAGATTTCCTTTAGTTGCAGCAGGCTTTCTGGCCATCTCCTCCAAACAGATTTGAGGGTTGTCATCAGTCTCCATGGGTGTTCTACTGGGTTTGTGTATGGAGACTAGGAGTAGTGCCCACTCCAGGATCATGAAATGCTCCTTACAGAGCCACTTGCAGCCACAGCACAACTCTTACCCCTTAGAAGTCTCTGCATGCACCGTGGTGCCTGTGCCAATCACATTGAATTAAGATGGAAAGACATGACCCACCTGATATTTAATGTAAATATAAAGTGTAGGTTTCAAAAGGGTTATTTAGTTTTGATATTTTAGGTTTTAAGCAAACATTAAAACATGACATAATTTGAAAGGTAATTTTACAGACCCCAAACTGGTGCCATCTAGTGGTTAAAAGAAGAGATAACCCTTGGAAATACAAGACCTGTGATAAGGCTTGTATTTTTCAAAGTTTTGCAATATTCGCCGTATTTGCTCCTTCGAGCTTCTCCCAAAACAAAACATTTCAACCCATTCTTGATTAGGATTATTTCTGGCATTGTATTCAAACTTCTCCTTCCAAATATGGAGAGTTCTATTTTGAACTCATGAGGTTTTGCGACTTACCCTGTCTTAAGCTAGGGACCTTTGCATTTATTGCTTTTTAAGATCGTTAACCTGTGCAGTTCTAGGCGTATCTTTCCCTTTTCTCAGGATCATTGAGCCCCATGTTGCATGGAGCCCCAGTCTGAGGGAGGTAGATACAAGGTTAAGGTAGATACAAATTTATCAAAACTATACCAAAACGTTATTGATTTTAACCAAAAAGTTTAAATATGAAAGAATTTTTATGGTTCTATTAGATGTGGATGTTAGCCTTTCATGTGTATTCATTTTTGCTAACTACATATGGTTTGAATATTACTTTTATTTAAAAAATAGTCCACGATTTTAGGCTTAGTAATTGCTTCTATGTGAATTCACTCTTGACTAAAGAGTAATTGTGTGAAGCAGCAAACAGCTTAAGTCCTAGATCTTTTGACTTTGGCCAGTATGCAGCCACCCACAAGACCTTAGCAACTACCCAGAAGACATTAGCAACCAAACAGCAGTCCACACAAATCCACTCTAAACAGCCGGCAACCACACAGTAGCACCTGGCAACCACCCAAAACACCCCGGCATCATGGCAGTGAATTTCATATAAGCAAACACCACAGTTTCTGGAGAAAGTGTCAAGATCAGTTTCCCTGACACTGACAGTGGAGCTGTATGGTGATGATTGCTCATCCTGTGACAGACTCAGTGTCCTGACTGTACATGTGTGACAGCAGTCTTATTATTCACACACAGAAATAGAGCTGTGCCTCTTTCCCAATTCTGGGTCAAATACTGTACTTGACCCATTAATAGTTTCTGCCTTGTTCTAATTATTTCACCAGTGTCTATTTTTCGACTAAGGTTTAGGAGGGGTTTCTAACGAACCTAAAAAAAAAGACCATACAACTTTTGACTAATACGATCTACTCTAAAAGGTACTAGAGTTAACCTTTCCAAAACACTCACCAGTGGTAACATGAGAAGTGGATG